CCCGTTACGCCACTGAAGACCGTTGTATCCGATTTCCACTGTATGTTGACCTATTTTTTCACCCATTACTCGAGAGGGGGCTATCGTTTAGCCCGGTAGATATTATTGGAATAGCGAAGATGATTCTGGATTGAGTCCGTTTCGCATGCGGGAAATTCGTGGGACGATTTGGCTATGGCGAGAGGAGCGCGATGCCCCACGGATCGCAGAGGAAGCGGAAAAAAGAGATCAGTAGACCTCGACTAGGAACACCCACGATTTAGGCGAGTTTGGAAGTTTGTCATGTTTTTAACGGGGAATAATAAAACACCTCCAAATAATTATGTTCAGTATCGTACATTGATAGATTCGTATCCACTTTTTGATACGAACGTCCCTAAGTGAGTTTGGTATTTTTTAATTTAATCGGTCAGTACCGTTCACAAAAAACGCGTTTAGATTGTGATACCGAAATTAAACACAGCCCCTGAACAAAGTAAAAAAAGAAACATTGACCGAAATTTTGGACAGCGTGGATGACTTAAGGTCGGTTTCATAGTCGTTCCTAAAAAAAACTCATTTCCTTATACTGCCGTGCTAAGGAAAAACGCCGTATGAATATTCGGGAATTGTCGAATTTCATCCAATTAAATATTCATTTATAAAGAGAGTTATGAATGTATTCTCATGAAATTTTCAGATAATTTAGATCTGATTACGAATAAAATTCTCTGGAAAAATCGGAAAAAGATTCACTCCTCAAAATTTGTATTTTATTGAAGGAAATTTGGCAACGGCTGAAAGCTCATATACGGCGTTTTTTCCTTAGCACGGCAGTATAAGGCTCCGTTTGGTTTAAATTGTGATTAAGGGAGGTTCAAAGAGATCTTTCAAAGACCCTTTTTCAAAATTACACACCTTTTACTGGTTAGCAAAACGTGTCCTTTTTATGACCCCATTTGTCAAAAGCCTGCTTGAATCTCCTTTAATCGCAATGTAAACCTTCTGTAAACCCTCCTAGGGATAGGCGCTGTCCAAGGAACGACTATGTATATACGATCCTGAGGTACACGACCACTCAGGATATGAGCTGCATGTGGTTGTTAGTATACCTCTTACGGGAGCTCATGTCTCTTCATTCATTGTGCGGGAGCTAACTACATTATGCGTCGTCTATGGGTACAAGCACATGACGCAACGTTTAGCTTTCGGACATAAGTCGGTCGGAAATGCTAGTTAGACTATCCTCTGTTTTAACCTCACATTCACGGCTCGAAAGTGCACTCAGTGTATTCAATAATAAAAGTAAACAGAGTAGGTTTCTCTTTGACTTCAACTCCCCCTACTCTTTAAACAACTTTTGGTCCTCAAAATGTTTATTATTTGCGTGCGTTCCATTGTAAACATAAGTTAAGTGGTTGTCATACTGGGATTTCTCTTCAAAAATCTGTCAAAATCCATTGCAAAAGGAAATATGTTAAATGTTTAAATGGCACGCAAAATGAGGCATCACCCTTAGTGACGTCAAAAATCGTAGTTCACCGGACGAAAGAACGTATAACTACGTTTCAAAGTTGCAAAATAATTAAAAACATTAATGAATAAACAATAAAAAATAATAAAATAACATTAAAGGAACGATAAAAATGCGGGAATGTGCTAAAACTAGTTGCAGTATGGTATTAGTAGATAAAACTAGAAATATAGTTGATAATTTGATTTCAAATAAAAACATTAAAATGTGATTAAATACAATTTACGAGAGGAATTCGTGAATTGATATCTCACGAAAAAATTCGTTTAGGGTTATGTTTAATTAAAAATTTTGCTGATCTTTCTTCTAATTGCATGCAGAACACAGGAAAATTCTGGACGGTAATCGAACAATTATGTATTTTTATAAAAATTGAATTGTTCGAGGCAATCCTGCAACTTTGGAACAGAAATACGTTCTTCGTCTGTTATACGACAAAATGTCAAGATAACATTTCTCATTTTTTCTTTGAAGGGAGAAAATCTTGCTCGTACCATATTCGAATTCAATAAAATTAAATCGGTTACTTTCGACTCAATTACGGTTTACAATTACATTTACAGTTTACAACTACTCGAGCTCCCATTCTCCTTTTACCGGACAGCATTTAATCGAGAAATTTTGTCTTAGTACCAGCTGCTCTAAAAACTTTAGAGCAATTTCTGAAAGATTTGAAACAAAATAAGTGATAAAAAGTGAAGGGGAAAGTATGTACACCTATACCTTTTCTGTTAACTTGTAAAAAAACATCCTGCATGAAGAGGAATCGTGACAATGTAATTGAGTTACTTTTTTCATGCCTAGGTTAAGAGATCTGTTCATACCAGAAATAGGTACACCAATAGTGTAAAAAAAGAGTTTTTTCGTGAATGAAATGAAGGATTTGGCAACAAGATATGAAGTGGAGATGATCCGGCGGGCTGTTGGAGAACGTAGCGTTACGTTGTTCGGTACGCTCTGGTGAGTCAGGACTTACACGGTCCACGAATAATTTCAATTATTCCATGACCTACTGGTATACTCTTACCGTTTACGTACACATCAAAACTGACCAAAAACAGAGATTTGTTGTGGGAGGACCGGGCCTCAAAAATTCAAATCCATTACCGCCTATATGTAGGTTATACAAGAGTTGCATTTGCCACGGCCCGCACAGAAAGGATCATTGGCATTCTCGCCCAGCCTTACACCGTATATATCTTTTGGCTCTTGCAACCGTAATTGGATTGCATTTTGCAAAAAGGAACCACGAGCATTGCAATGTTGCTAAGATTGTGCAACTTCTTTTGTCTTGGAAGAAAAACCTGATTATCCATTGACAGTTTCAATTTTACTCGCTGAAAACTGTGAATCGAAGACAAAAATTACCATGTACCATTTTTTCATGATTTCAGTTATTTTACTGCAAAGGATGAATTTGCACAATCTTTGCATCATTGCAATGTTTCTGGTTCCTTTTTGCAAAATGCAACCCGATTATTCTCAGCTGGTGTCTTTAAAGAGTCTATGACTAAATGCGTGTATTTAATTATTCAATTTTTACTTCTTTATTGAAATTCATCAATAGGATCAAAAATTTAAAAATAAAAGTATCCTAGAATTTCAAAATTTACTACGACCCTGGTAGTATTGAATCCAACTGACTTTCGTGCGAATGAATCAGATTGCTTCGCATTGCAACCTAAAGTTCAGCCTAATAATCATCGAAAATAATGCCGGATCAATTTCAGGGAGCATGTGTGAAGTCATGATGCTCTTTGGAGACTTTAACGCTCGGATAAGAAAAGTGAACCTCAGTCATTTCCTTCAAATAAACCTTCCCGGAGGCTTTAGGGGATGGAAGTAGTGTTGACTTAGGAGTTTAGAGGAAAAGGAACCAATGAACCAGATGTAAACTACATTCTGTAATTACAAACCACTATGTCTGTCTCACTTCAGAGTCAAGAAAAGTGCAACTTGTTTTTCTACGTAGGTAGGTTCTTTTGAGATGAACCAGTAATAGTAGATAGTTCCCTATTGCAAAATGAAGTCCAACTGAAAAGTAAACTACGGACGTTTTCGTGCAAAAAATGCTTACTCGGATGAGGAAAAATTGAAAAACTTATTTGTCTGAGGACTTTTCTGCCGTCGACGGCGGAGCTTTCAGAAAAGTCCATTCGTTCGAGATGATGGATGCGCGCTCGTGGGCACCTGTGTGCGGTTGGAGACCACAAGCGATCATACAGCGACGGCCAACTCGGAATTGGGATTGTTTTACGCTCCGACTTTGTGCAACCGCGAGCCGCGCCGCGTGGCTCGCGCCTCACAAACGGACTGAAAGAATATTCATTAAAAGAGGAGGCTGTTACAATAACTTTTCCATGAACCGATCCGCATCGGGGCACCGGGGATGCAGGTGCTCCTTGGTGAGAAACTTTTTGTTGCTGCTTTTTGGTCTCTCAATAATAATTCAGCTTCGGGATACGAATCCTATTATAAGCATTTACAATGAGCGTAATATTTCTCTCTTTGTCTTGTCCCCTGCCCCCCTCCACGTCGCTCCGTATCGCTTCCTCTACCTCTTTCTTGCGTGTGCTCTCTCGCTCTCGTGACCACACTCGTTCCTTCTCGATTTTATCAACCTCCTCCTCCGTCCACCCGCTGTCACTCTCTCTCTCTCTTTTTCATCCTTCTCTTTTCCAATTTTCCTGGGTCTCTCTTTCTATTCAGTGCTCAAATATCGATTCACCATGAGAGTCATCTTCTTTGCAGTGGCTTTTCATTCAGCTCCCTCTCCCCCGCCTTTCACTGTCTTCTTTGCCGTTCTGCCGCGCCTCCTAAGCGAAAACCGCAGATTTACACAAGCCGGCCATTGGAGTTACGCGCTTTTGATTAGCGATGGTCCACCTCGGTTTTTTACCACCAGGCCAAAGCTCTGTTGAATGTCCGTCACTACTGGAGATGATCGGGTCTTCGTCTGCCAGAGCGAGCAAAATGCGAGTACGTTGAACGCAGGCATTCTCACTATCGGGTCCATTGATGAACTTCCAGCTACAGCAAGCAATGGACCATGATCGATCAATAACACTAAATCTTAAAGCTTTATCAATTCATAAAATTTTATAAGCTGTCAATGAAAGTTCAAGAGCCGACCTGCAAATCTTGCAGTCAATTGTGTTCTGATATTAATGGAAGAGGGAAATTTGAGAAAGGCGTGAAAGGTTACAAGAGGGACATTTTAAGACGAGATCCAAGCACTTATTCCCTATTTCAGCCAAATGACCCGCAATAAATTAGATGAGTGAGAAATAATAAAATAATAGCAAATTTAGAGAGCAAAGTAGTGCATTTGTGCACCTACGAAATGAAGGAAAAACCTTTAATCCAGAAATAATGTCAACGTTGCTTTATAATGTAAAATGTATTCCTCATTTCAAGAGGTTTTTAGCTTAGTTTGTTTGTAATATTCTGCTCCTTATATTTTTATGCATTTTTTTCTTGTTTGCAGGGCAATGAAACCTAGCTGTTTGTGCTGAAAAAGTATGACGATGTCTTATTACATCCTACTTTTTTCTTTACAATCGGCATCAAGTATAGGAAATGAACCTCCTTCTGTAGTAAGTACTGATTTTTCAAGCTTATCCCGTTAAATCGATCCAGGAAGATTTATACAAACAATACACATCAAAGCAGTGAAGAATCAACCTATGTTGTTGCTCCCTCACTGGTTCGATTTTTTCTTCACAGTAACAATTCCGGAGACATAAAATGGGTAAACTTACTTAAAAATCCACCCTCGTCAAACGGAGTAATTCTATGAATAATTTTGTTAATATGACATCATAATTCTACTCGTATAAATTTAGATTCTGACCTACTTTTAATTCTATTCAACATGCATAATGTATAAGTATTTTATAAGGTAAATATACAGCGTCCATATACATGAAAATAGCCGCACAGTCGAATTCCGATCAAAGACGTCCGAAGCGGTAATGATAGTATTTTTAAAGAATTATTGAATTTTGATGTTAACTCGACGAGGTTTGGAGAGAGCAACGGTTCATGCCTCCCTGCCCTGCTGCCGTGATAGCGAAGAGAGCAAAGTCCATGCCGGGATGAACCTCGAGACACATAAAAGCACGTGCTAACCATGGCTCATACAGAAATGCACCAGTGGCGTGGCGTGCTTTGCGATCTATCGATATTTCCCCATTTGAAGTTGTGGTAATTAATCGATTATTAAGGTGTTCCCTGCGAACACCCTGATAATCGATCCTTTTTCATAGGTTTGAGTGGCGTATCAATCGATATATCGCAAAGCACGCCACGCCACTGAAATGCACTTACTGCTCTCTTCGATATCACGGGAGCCTTGGGACATGCGCGGGCTCGAGAAGCGAGGAATCAACCGTAATTACAAAACGCGGTAACGATGTCCGAGGTCCGAACTCCGAGTCCGGTTCAGTGTGACAGAGTGAGCATAACGCACTAGGAGTCACGATCGGTAGTAAAAATGACAGGACTTTCTCCCGAATCATGAACCGACGGAATTGTTTGACGCGGGGGGTCGTCGAAAAGCGAACTAGGAAGTGAAAAGCACCCCACCGAACTCCGCGGCTACGATCGAATGGAAACACGCGCCAATAACACATCAGGAGGTGCTCACAGGACACCTGAGATAAGTTTAAAGAATATTTTTCAAGCGGAAGTTAAATTGACGATAGGAATCTGGGCACGTCTTGATATTAATATGTGCATAAGATTCGATGGAGAATTATTGAATTTACTACGAAAATTGAATTTAGTTGAAATAGTTGTACTATTTACTTATGATTTGGATCCGTTACATTCAGGGGTCGTAAAGATATGTCCGGGTGTCTCAGAAGCCTCAGGCGGCCATTAGCCACGGAAAGAAGAGAATGTTAGTGGTTACCTACCAGATTCCTAATTTGAGGGAATTGCGAGTGAACAACCAACATTAGACGAAAAATAGCGTTGGCCCCCAAACTGAACTTATGCCTCACCCGATTATGCAGTTTAGATTCCGCGAGTTTGAATAATCGCGCTAAACACAGTGCAATTGGCTTGAAACGCGCATCATCAAGTCATTAGAAATACTTCATACGTTGCGCCAACAGCAGTATTGAGTGCGGTCGACGTGAAACACATATTAGTGCTTACATAAGACTGAGAACACTTCATGCATTGCGCCAAATACAGTGCGGGCGGCATTGATCGTATGTTAGCGCCTACAAGACTGAGGGAATACTTCACGCATTGCACGTAGCGGCCATGGTGCACGGTGCACGCCGACTGTCAGCCGAAGGCTGGGGATATTTTGTGTTTTACTTCCGGTATTAACCAAACTTCTGTGTTAATTTTTCTCTCTGTGTATACCTTCACGACCTATCTCTACGGAAATAGCTGTGCAGTATTGTTCATATTTTCGATACCTCATTCCAAAAATAGAATACCTTGAAAATGAAATTTTCAGAGAGACGATGAGTTCTTAAGTTGTCATGCTCATTGGCACCCAAATAAGAGAGGGCATTGCGTCTTAATAATAGCATGGAACAAGTGCAAAGTTTCCCTCCTTTTTCGTGAGTTAAACTTCAAAATATTGGTGTTAAAATTCTTTGTCAAATCTCAAACTATAACGAGTGCTGCCTTGAAAGTGACTCATGACCAAAAAGTTCACAAAATTGCTTGGAATCATAACATAATTTGCAAACAATCGCCTAAAAAAAGCGCTCACCCCGACATTCATCAGCCATCATTTAGCGAATTTGATGCTCCAAAAGCTACTTATCGATCATCGCAAAAAGTAGCGTTGACCTCCTACCTATATTTTCGTTACACCCGATTCACGTTACTTGGATTTTGTTTAATGCGGGGTATTAGGATTGTATCACTTCCGCTTGATGGCACAAAACGGTCATAAGCAGCACAACCTGCCCTCCAAAAATGGAAAATTAGACTCAGGAAGGTGAAACCCCATGGATGCCCGTGGGTCGTGGCGAGTCGATGAAACGAGAATGACCATCAGAAGTCAATTGGGTCAAAATGGGAAGGTTTTTTCGCGTCTCTCCTCGAGTGAGATGCGTTGATCGTCCGGCAATGAGGGAAACGGGGGCGGAGGGAAATCGGAAAGGAGGAAAATAAATTGTTACACAGCATAACTGGCGATCGGCGATCGCTTTAAATCTGCGCATTACTTCAGTGGACGGAACTTCCAGTTGGAACCGATCGGAAACGGTTCAACTGACGGCGCTAATTACCATTCCGTGGTTGTCAGCCTCGCCGCGAAAATCTCTGTTTTTATTTCAAGGAGCCCGAATCTCGAGGTAGCCTCCCTGATAAAAAACCCTGTAATCCTAGGAAAGTAACATAAGGTCTGATCGGTGTATACTAAAGATTGCGCCTGACCCCAGTGGCCGCTACACAGCCCAACCCCCAGGAAGTGCTTAGCGCCCTTAAGAGGCCTTTTTCTGGTGCATATTTTACTTACAAGTAAAAATGTAAAATAAGTCGAGCTTATGTACGTCATTATTTTAGGATATTTGAATAAAAAAAACCATGGAATTCGTGTAATGAACTGTTGTAAAAACCAAAAATTTCCGATGGGAGTCAGGGACCTGATGTGTATGATACCTGGAGTGTTGAGAGATTGAGCGAGATGATTTTTTTACTCTCTTTTTTTTATATCATCGTTCGTTACAAAAAATGTTGGTGTTTTTTCTGATCATCTTACCTACTCGATTCTGTGAGAAATGTTGCAATTGATTCCTTTTTTCCAATCAGTCCCAAAGAACTCTATACATAAGTTAGAGCTAGTCCAGATAGATCTCAACCAAGACAGTGGAGTCTAAGTCCCCATATTTTTCAGAACTACTTTGCCCCTTCGGTGGAATTGTCAGAGCAGGCGCAATCCAAAGTCGGAATCGCACTGAAAAAAAATTCTCGGCGTTTTTACCACGGTCGGTTGGTACCTTTACCATCTCACTTTTTTTTACCAATTATTGGTAATTTTACCAAGACAGACTGGTAAGTTTACCTAAAAACCGGTATTTTTACTGTTTTTTTTTCAGGTAAGAATACCCCGGTATTGGTAATCAATTCCCGGTAACTTTGCCATTTTATCTCGGTAATTCTACCACAGTCGATAAAAAATATTGGCGTTTTTACCAAGGTCCAGTAAAATTACCGAGAAAGTTCAATAATTTTATACCTAGATTTCTCGGTAAAATTACCAATTCCATAAATAGTAATTTTACCAACAAAAAACCGAGATCACATAGAACTCTGAATTCTTGGTAATTTTACCCTTTTCTTAGTAAATACACCGAGATTTTCTTTTTCAGTGCCCAAAGAACTCTATACGTAAGTTAGGGCTAGTCCAGATAGATCTTAACCAAGACAGTGGAGTCTAAGTCTCCATATATTTCCGAACCACTTTGCCCCTTCGGTTAAATTTTAAATTGTCAAAGCAGGCGTGATTCAAAGTTGGAATTAGTCTGATTACACACGATACGGATGTAAAAAAAGCATTTCGGCCGGTGCATTCGGGCAGCTGCGCATGGGCCGCGGGCCGCTCACTCAACGAGCTCCGATTGAAATAATCGAAGCCGAGCCATTACCGCGAAGACGAGAGGACCTTCCGGATTCCAACTTCTCATCACCGACAGCTGATTGCCGACAGAAAATCGGATCCAAATTAAGTCGTAGCCGCCAACTCTCGCTTGAGCAGTTCCAGATCCACCGTTGTCAACTCGACCGAGGATTTCCACCGACCAACGGGGCTCATGCCGATGTCCGATGGCAATTTGGCGGCTCGGGGTTCGGACATCTCGACCCGGCGACCTGACACTGAATCAGCGAATCCATCAAAATCCGAGATTCGAGATCCATGAACGGTTTTAAACGCGGTCACCCGGTCGACATCTCTTCGTGCAGATCTATCGAAATCGGAATTGCGCACCACCTTGCCCTTCTTTACTTCCGCGTTTCCATAAGCCCTCCGATCTCGATTTGGAAACCTTGCGAGTGTGATGGTAAATTGAAAGGCTTGGAGGACAAAGCGTATAAAATCAGTTTTAGTAAAAATTGAGATGAAAGTGATTTCAACTAATTGGACAGCATTTTGCAATTTGGAACTGTACATTCTGGCTCTTCTGAAAAAACACTTATGTGTTTAGGGAAACTAATGGAACATACGTTGTTATTAATCAGGGATAGAATCTACAGGTCCAAATTGCAAAATGTAGTCCAATTTAGGTTTCAAATACATTTTGTGAAAAATTCACTAGGAAAATCCGATTATTAAGCATCAAAATGCCACTTCGAACTTTCTTTCCGCCATAAGGTTTCATGTAAATTAAAAAGTTCAAACAATTTTTTCTCCGAACGGCAAAAACTACACTCAAGCGCCTTGTCCTCCAAGCCCCTCAATTCTACACATTTTGAAAATCTTAGATGGATACTCAAACGGGGAACGTTCTGCATTACTACTCTGCTTGGCTCACCTCAGAAATAACATGTGGGCTTTTTCGATGCAGGTAGATGCTTTTAAAAATGAGTTAGAAATAGCTGTTTCTTACTGCAGAATACAGTCCAA